ATTAAATGAAAACATACAAAATATGTTGTGGATTCAAGCAGCAATGCGATTCATCTAGAGAACATATTCAGATGGGGAGTTTGGCTGGGGCGGCACATCTGCTAAACTGCAACGCAGATGCCCTAAGGTTGACTCAGAGAGAACAGAAATCTCTCGTTGATTGAAAGGGAAAAAGTCAGCTTGATTCAGATTTTCAGTACGAATACGAACTGCGAAAGCATGGCCTATCGATCCTTTAAATCCAGAAAGGTTCTGGTTAGAGGTGACAGAAAAGTTACCACAGGGATAACTGGCTTGTGGCAGCCAAGCGTTCATAGCGACGTTGCTTTTTGATCCTTCGATGTCGGCTCTTCCTATCATTGAGACGCAGAAGTCTTAAAATGTCGGATTGTTCACCCGCTAATAGGGAACGTGAGCTGGGTTTAGACCGTCGTGAGACAGGTTAGTTTTACCCTACTTATTATTGGTACGGTGACAGTAGAGCAACTTAGTACGAGAGGAACCGTTGCTTCATGCCTCTGGTAACGCGGTTGGCTGGCAAGCCAGTGCTGCAAAGCTACGCATGTTGGATAATGGCTGAACGCCTCTAAGTCAGAATCCAGCCTGAAAAACCGTATCCAGTGGGAGTTAAGTGTCGACCTAATAGAGTCATCCAATTCGATCGGTGGACCGTGACGCGAAAGTCAGGTTACCAAAATTAAACGACCACGAACATTTGTAAAAGACGATTACAATGCTAATAGGTGCTGTAACCATGAGAGCGAGCTATGCCTTGCGATCTGCTGAGGCTGCCTAATTAGCAAAATGGTATGTCACACTCAACTACCGTAGCAGCGTGTTGATCCGTACATATATGTTTTGTTTTTCAGTGCACAGCATATTGTTAATTTTTTGATGCAAAAACTTTGTTTTTGCATTGTGGAGTCTGTTCAATCCGGACTTCTGGGAATTGAACAGTACATGTATATGTATTACTGAATCTCATCAAATTATATCTTTATCGTCTTTTGGCGATGCTTCTGAAACCAAATGTTTATTAATTTATAGAAAAACACACACCATATAATTACGTATTGATCTATAAGCTGATGTTTCATTTGTGCAATAGTAGATTTTGCTCTAAAATATATAGCAACGGAAATAAATTGCTTAACAATTATTCAACTCTTTCTCAAACGCCGCTCCGTTAGTACAGTAATCAGATAAACGTAATTAATGAAAAATTGTATATTGTAGTGAAGAAGTTCGCTATGTATTTGTTGAGATATCTTAACAGATCTTAATTGGTTTGAATCTGAAGAGAACTGATAGTGATTACACTAGGGTTGTTTCTTCTGAGATGAGCGTTTTAAATGTTCACACTGTCGAAAGCATAAGTGAGGTGGTTGTTTGATTAGTAAATAGTGTTATGATAATGGAATTTATTATACTAGAATTAGTTCTGGTAGTCATTTCGTAATATGTGACTCCATGCGATAGTAATCGTAGGAATTATTTATTGCGGTTGGTCTTGTGCGTTCTAGCTATTATGAGTAGTTTGAAAAATGGGTAGTATCTCATTTGAAAATTCGTTAATAATCTGGTTGATCCTGCCAGTAGTTATATGCTTGTTTCAAAGATTAAGCCATGCAAGTCTAAGTATAAGCTTTTATACAGCGAAACTGCGAATAGCTCATTATAACAGTTATAATTTACACGGTGATCGTTACTAAATGGATAACCATGGTAATTCTGGAGCTAATACATGCGAAATACCCTATCGGGTAGCATTCATTGGCCTTTTGAACCTTCACTGGTGATCACAATGAAATTGCGGATCTCATTTGAGACAGACCGTTCAAGTTTCTGACCTATCAGCTTTGGTCGGTAGGGTATTGGCCTACCGAGGCATTGACGGGTAACGGGGAATTAGGGTTCGATTCCGGAGAGGGAGCCTGAGAAACGGCTACCACATCTAAGGGTGGCAGCAGGCGCGCAAATTACCCAATCCCGACACGGGGAGGTAGTGACAAGAAATAGCGGCGTGAGACAAAAGTTTCATGACTGCAATGAGTAGAACTTAAAAACGTCTACGATTAACAATTGGAGGGCAAGTCTGGTGCCAGCAGCCGCGGTAATTCCAGCTCCAATAGCGTATATTAAAGTTGTTGCAGTTAAAGCGTCCGTAGTTGATATTCGAAAATATCTTTATGACTTAACATAATTTATGTTATATATAAATGTATATTTTCTAGTTTACGGTTTACCGTTAAACAATGTTACTTTGAGTAAATTGGAGTGCTCCAAGCAGGCTTATTAGTCTGAACATCTCAGCATAGAATAACAACATATGACCTAAGTCTGTATTGTTGGTTTTCAGATATTGTGTAATGATTGATAAGGACATTCGGGGGCATTTGTACTCGCTGGTGAGAGGTAAAATTCTAAGATCCAGTGATGACAAACAAATGCGAAAGCATTTGTCTAGTGTGTACCTGTTAATCAAGGACGAAAGTTGGGGGATCGAAGACGATTAGATACCGTCGTAGTCCCAACCATAAACTATGCCGACTGAGTATCGGTGAAGAGATTATATATCTTCCTCGGAACTCTAAGAGAAATCTAAGTTTTTGGGCCCTGGGGGGAGTATGGTCGCAAGGCTGAAACTTAAAGGAATTGACGGAAGGGCACCACCAGGAGTGGAGCCTGCGGCTTAATTCGACTCAACGCGGGAAACCTCACCAGGTCCGGACATAGTCATGATTGACAGATGAAAAGATCTTTCTTGATTCTATGGGTGGTGGTGCATGGCCGTTCTTAGTCGGTGAGGTGACTTGTCAGGTTAATTCCGATAACGGACGAGACCTCGGCCTACTAAATAGTATTACCATATTCGTATGGTAAAGACTTCTTAGAGGGACATTGAGAGTTTATCTCAAGGAAGTTCGAGCCAATAACAGGTCCGTGATGCCCTTAGATGACCTGGGCTGCACGTGCGCTACAATGATAAGAGCAGAAAGTATACCAAATTCGAAAGAATGAGGAAATCTAAGAAATCTTATCGTGATTGGGATTGATCATTGCAATTATTGATCATTAACGAGGAATTCCTAGTAAGTGCAAGTCATTATCTTGTGCTGATTGCGTCCCTGCCCTTTGTACACACCGCCCGTCGCTTCAACCGATTGGATGATCCGGTAAATTATGTGGACAAGATATAAGTACCTGTACTTATATCTTGGAAGCAGCGTGAGCCTTATCATCTAGAGGATGAAAAAGTCGTAACACGGTATCCGTAGGTGAACCTGCGGATGGATCATTCTTACAACTTTCACTGTATAGTGATATTATTACTCCCAGATTTCAATACAATATTCTATCTTAAAACTTTTTAAAAAAAATAAAACTTATAACGATGGATGACTTGGTTCCTAAAATGAGGAAGGACGTTGCAAAATGCGAAAAGTATTACAACTAGCACCTCAAGAATAATAAATCTCTGAACGCAAATGTGCCTAAGTCAATTGGGCATTATCGATTCCGTGAGTAAAATTAACACAGTATTATTCATTAATATTGATTTGATTGTACTTTAAGTATATAAATTAGTAATGTATAATATTAATTAGATTATATTAGCTAATTGGTGTTATATATTATTATATCCTGAATGACCGGAGTCGATAAAAATCACTCGCTGAATTTAAGCATATAATTAAGCGAAGGAAAAGAAACCAACAAGGATTCTCTTATTAGCGGCGAGCGAAAAGGGAACAGTGCAGAATGTGAATTCATAGTGGCAACATTATGAAGTTGTGCATTTGTACAAATACAGGAAGTCATTATATAATACTAAATGTTCATGATTGACATATGATAAATGGTGAAAATCCAGTAGTATTATATAAGATGGAATTGTATTAGTACGGCTGAGTCACGCTCCTTGAGAGTGGAGTGCAAATATGGTGGTAATTTTCATCAAACACTAAATATAATTAGGAAACCGATAGCAAACAAGTACTGTGAAGGAAAGTTGAAAAGAACTTCGAAAGGAGAGTGAAAAGACCTGAAATCGTTATAAGGGAAGCGGGCTTATTGATGTCAAAGCAATTTGAGCATTAATTTTATTTGAATAGAATAAATAATGTATAGTTAATAAGCACGACCCGTCTTGAAACACGGACCAAGGAGTTAGTAAATTGTGCGAGTATAAGAGTGAAAAACTCGTATGCGTAGTGAAAGCAAAATCTATGAGTCTGACTTCAAGGATGCAATAGAGACCAAATTATCATATTTGAGTTTTAGCATAATTTATTAGACCCGAAAGATGGTGATCTATACCTGAGTTGGGTGAAGCCAGAGGAAACTCTGGTGGAGGCTCGTAGCGATACTGACGTGCAAATCGTTCGTCGAACTTGGGCATAGGGGCGAAAGACTAATCGAACCATCTAGTAGCTGGTTCCCTCCGAAGTTTCCCTCAGGATAGCTGGAAGTGGTACAGTTAGATTCGGTAAAGATAATGATTAGAGGTATCTGTGCACAATTATGTGGCGGGCCTATTCTCAAACTTTAAATGGGTCTGCAATTTATCTAATTAATGTTAGATACTTTGGAAAATGTTACTTCTTAGTGGGCCAGTTTTGGTAAGCAGAACTGGCGATGAGGGATGCTCCTAACGTTTGAATAAGGTGTCAAATAATCGCTTATCAGATACCACAAAAGGTGTTGGTTCATTGAGACAGCAGGGCGGTGGCCATGGAAGTCGGAATCCGCTAAGGAATGTGTAACAACTCACCTGCCGAATGAACTAGCCCTGAAAATGGATGACGCTCAAGCGATTAACCGATATCAAACCATTTACAGCGTGATTGTGAATGTGTAGGAGGGCGTGAATATGACATAGAAGGTTTACGTGTGAACGTGACTGGAGTCGTATTTAGTGCAGATCTTGGTGTTAGTAGCAACTAGTCGTATGAGAATTGCGATGACCGAAGTGGATGAGGGTTCCGAGCGAACAGTGTTTGGACTCGGGTTAGTCGGTCCTAAGGGGATGCTTAATAAGCTGAAACAGTTGTGAACAACGATCCTCGAAAGGGAATAAGGCAAAAATTCCTTAACTGCTAACAACATTTGTGGTGACACAGAGTAGATCGGCTTTGTTATTGATTATTTTGGGAAGCGTTTTCATTGCTTTTTAAATCATTAAGTCTTTGGAATCGAATCAATCGTAGAAAAAGAGTATGATGATGAATAATGGCTTATTTTGAGTCATCCGAACAATAATCAATAACCTATGAAAAGGTAGATTAAATGTGTGTTGTTGGTATCCGTACCCTAANACCTTCGGAATAAGGATTGGCTCTGAGGACTTTATTTAACACAAGATAGCAATAAATTTGAATTGGCTTCGGTCAGTTTGAAGTGAGCTATTTTGAATTAGGCAACTAATGCGTTAAATGTTTATTAAGTCATCTCAGAACTGGTGTGGACAAGGGGAATCTGACTGTTTAATTAAAACAAAGCATTGCGATACGGTACAAACCTTTTTACGCAATGTGATTTCTGCCCAGTGCTCTGAATGTCATCGCGGTGAAATTCGCTTAAGCGCGGGTAAACGGCGGGAGTAACTATGACTCTCTTAAGGTAGCCAAATGCCTCGTCGTCTAATTAATGACGCGCATGAATGGATTAACGAGATTCCTACTGTCCCCAACTGCCATCTAGCGAAACCACAGCCAAGGGAACGGGCTTGGCAAAATAAGCGGGGAAAGAAGACCCTGTTGAGCTTGACTCTAGTCTGATTTTGTCGAGTGACTTATGGGGTAGAGAATACGTGGGAGTTACGCAAGTAACAATCGTGAAATACCACGACCTATAATGTTGCTCAACTTACTCTATAAAGTAAAAGTATCTTTTGATATTGTGGAATCAAACGCATTTATTGCGTGATTTACGTAGAGAACATATTCAGATGGGGAGTTTGGCTGGGGCGGCACATCTGCTAAACAACAACGCAGATGCCCTAAGGTTGACTCAAAGAGACCAGAAATCTCTTGTAGATTGAAAGGGGAAAAGTCAGCTTGATTCTGATTTTCAGTGCGAATACGAACTGCGAAAGCATGGCCTATCGATCCTTTAAGTCCAGAAAAGTTCTGGCTAGAGGTGACAGAAAAGTTACCACAGGGATAACTGGCTTGTGGCAGCCAAGCGTTCATAGCGACGTTGCTTTTTGATCCTTCGATGTCGGCTCTTCCTATCATTGAGACGCAGAAGTCTCAAAATGTCGGATTGTTCACCCGCTAATAGGGAACGTGAGCTGGGTTTAGACCGTCGTGAGACAGGTTAGTTTTACCCTACTTATTAATAGTACATTGACAGTAAGGCAACTTAGTACGAGAGGAACTGTTGCCTCAAGCCTCTGGTAACGCGACTGGTTGGCAAACCAGTGTTGCAAAGCTACGCTTGTAGGATAATGACTGAACGCCTCTAAGTCAGAAACCTAGCTGAAAATATGTTCTTATATAGTAGATTAAAATGACTTTACAAATCATATTCAACTCAATAGGATGAATTCTGTGAAAAGATGAAATCCATAAAAAAGTCTACTATAAACATTTCTATACAGACGATTAGAATGCAAATCAATGTTGTAAGCATGAGAGAAAGCTGTGCCTTTCGATCTGCTAAGACTATTGAATTTGCAAAATGGTTAATTCACTACACTATCGTAATAAAGAATTAATAAAAAAATTCGATTTGGGTTTTGATTTTATATATTTTTCTTTTATAAATTTAACAGAGTTTATAGTTTCTATTTATAATATTCCTTTTATAAAATTAAATATTTTTAAATATATAAGTAATTAATTAAATATCAAAATATAGTACTAATTTTTTTTAAATTAAAAGCCAATAAAAATCGATAGTGTTCTAGCGTTATATTTAATTATGATAAAAAAATATATATATAAGAAGTAAGTAATTATTTCTGGATTAAGTAATATAATTGATTATATTAACTTAAAAAATTGGTATTGTTATAATATATGTTTAGTATATATTGTATAAACAAATTTTAAATTTAAATCATTAGGTTGTTTGATCATTAATTTGTAATTAATAATCATGTCATTAATTTGTTTAATCAATTATTATTGATTGAAGTTAATAATTTACATTGATAATACTAATTTGTATTATAATGTAGATTTGTAGTTAGTCTATATGTTTAAAATAGATGATGAATATTATAGAAGTTAATATAATCAAAATTATATTATTATAATAACCTGGTTGATCCTGCCAGTAGTCATATGCTTGTTTTAAAGATTAAGCCATGCAAGTCTAAGTATAAGCTTTTATACAGCGAAACTGCGAATAGCTCATTAAAACAGTTATAATTTACACGGTGACATTATTAAATGGATATCCATGGTAATTCTGTGGCTAATACATGCGAAAAGTTCCGACTAACGNTATCGTGATTGGGATTGATCATTGCAATTATTGATCATAAACGAGGAATTCCTAGTAAGTGCAAGTCATTATCTTGTGCTGATTGCGTCCCTGCCCTTTGTACACACCGCCCGTCGCTTCAACCGATTGGATGATCCGGTAAATTTTGTGGACAGCTATATAGCTTCGGCTATGCTGAAAACGACGTAAGCCTTATCATCTAGAGGATGAAGAAGTCGTAACACGGTATCCGTAGGTGAACCTGCGGATGGATCAATCAAAATTGAAAGCATTTCTTACAGAATTGCAATCATATATTCCAGATTTCAACTTGAACATCTAAGAAACAATCATTTAAACACAAATTAAAACTTATAACGATGGATGACTAGGCTCTTAGAATGATGAAGGACGCAGCAAAGTGCGATAAGTATTATGACTTGCAATCTTCATGATTAATTAGTATCCGAACGCAGATGTACTTATAATTATTTATAAGTATTATTGACTCCGTGTGTTATTCAATCTATACAGCCATAAACTGTATGTCAGGTACTGCAAGTACTTAGATAAGCCAAAGTAAATCAGCTAATTGTTTAACGAATCAATTTTCTGAACTTATTTTGTACAATCTGATGTGCCGGAGTTCAATAAAAGCTACCCGCTGAATTTAAGCATATAAATAAGCGGAGGAAAAGAAACTAACAAGGATTCTCTTATTAGCGGCGAGCGAAAAGAGATAAGTGCAAAATGTGAATTCGATTAGTCGAAGTTGTGCATTTGAGCGGATGTTAAGCTAAATGGAACTGAATAACAGTTTTGAATGACTGGCCTTAGAAGGTGAAAGCCCTGTGTTCAGTTTAATTTAGTTGAAACTACCGTTTCGTTGAGTCACGCTCCTTGAGAGTGGAGTGCAAATAAGGTGGTAACCTCCATCAAACACTAAATACTACTAAGAGACCGATAGCGAACAAGTACTGTGAAGGAAAGTTGAAAAGCACTTCGAAAGGAGAGTTAAAAGACCTGAAATCGTTATAAGGGAAGCACGCCCAAGGCTACCTGCTCGCAGGAGCGCAAGAATATGTAACTATGTTCTGCGTCAGCCGCTGGGCATGACCCGTCTTGAAACACGGACCAAGGAGTTAGCAAATTGTGCGAGTATAAGAGTGTTAAGCTCGTATGCGTAGTGAAAGCGATAGCTGTGAAATTTGCAACAGCGGCCAGACTTTAATGTTTGTGTTTGAGCATAATTTGTTAGACCCGAAAGATGGTGATCTATACCTGAGTTGGGTGAAGCCAGAGGAAACTCTGGTGGAAGCCCGCAGCGATACTGACGTGCAAATCGTTCGTCGAACTTGGGCATAGGGGCGAAAGACTAATCGAACCATCTAGTAGCTGGTTCCCTCCGAAGTTTCC